CTAAATACAATAAATAAATAAATAAATAAATAAATAAATAAATAAAATATTTTTAAAATTAGTCAGCCACCCTCAATCTTAGTGTCAGGTGAAGTCTCTGGACATGAGCAAAATGCAGTCAAGCTTTCTACCAAGGTAGAAACACTTGGATTCCCACAACCAATGGAGTCCTTCTCAGTATTTCTATCAACATTCTGGGCCTCTGAGCTCTGCAGAGAATCCCCCATTAAGTACAGCCTCAGAGTTTCAGCTCTACTTTTCTTGTTGTTTGTTTTGTTTTTGTTTTCGATACAGGGTCTCACTACACAGTTCAAATTCATAGTGATCCTCCTGTCTCAGCCCCTCCCCCAGCACTGGGATTACAGGTGTATGCAACCACGCCTCGTTTCAGGACTGGCACAGTGTGTGTGGGACCAGGGATCAAACTCTGCACCTTGTGATTGCCAGGCAGGCACTTAGACCACTGAGCTATCACCCCAGACCCTCCAGCTCTACTTTTTCAGCCAGCATCTACAAACCTTTTCCACCTCTTCCCCTTCCCACAAGCCAGCTCCAAAGGCTCCTAAAGCACATGGTCAGGTACAGTCATAGAAACAACCCCATTTCTCTGGTACAAAATTCTCTTTTATTTACTTTTTCTCATTGCTGAGACAAAATACATTCAAAGTTAGAGGAGGAAAGGTTTATATAGCTTAGTTTTTAGAGATTTTAGTACATAATTGGGGATTCCAAGGCAGAGTGGCACATGGCAGTGAAGAAACGGGTCCTGGCAGACAGAAGGCAGCAACAGCAAGTAAGCAAAGATAAAAGTTCAGGCAGCTTCTCTCTGCCCATTTTATACTCTGTCTTGTCTACCAGGCTTAGGGGCTGGTGCCAAACCAATCAGTGGACTGCTTTACCGATCACATACTCTTAATCTTAGCACACACACACTCTATATCCAGCCACTTATGAAAAAGCCCTATAACTGTGTGAGGCTGTGGGGTGCATCTAGACATCAGTCATAGCACAAGAGCAGCCAGCATGATTTCTAGGATGAGCTCATTTAACATGGACAGAGGCCTTCCTCACCGACAGCAGGGCTGGAAGACATTTCACCAGATGAACTGTATTTCATCTGGATATATGTAAAAAATTAATACAAGTAATTGCAAAGGGATCCTGTAAGCAGGAATCATCTTCAGTCTTTCTCTCTCTCTCTCTCTCTCTCTCTCTCTCTCTCTCTCTCTCTCTCTCTTTCTTTGTGGAACCGGGGATTGAACTCAGGACCTTGACATGCCAGGCAAGCACTTATTATACCGAGCTATCTCCCCAGCCCCTTATTTCACCTTCTTGATGAACCACACCATTTGACCCTTGCAGTAATTCATCTCTCCCTGCCTGCAGCTGAACTCCACAAACAGGCTCAGCAGTTGCTCACCCACTTCTTCCTTGATAAGTCTGGAGATATTGAAGGACTTGAGTGTATCTCTACCCTAAGGCTTTCCCACATTGCCCAAAGTAAACATGGCCCTACTTCTATTGTTATTCTATTATGATACTAAGTGTGGGTTTATAACAGTGTGTGTGCATGTGTGTGTGTGTGTGTGTGTGTGTGTGTGTGTAATGCCACTTGATTGTTTATTCTTCTTGATTTAACTATGGCATATGTGTCTTTTATAGATATCAAATATTAAAGCCAGGCATAGTAGTTGGTACACACGTATACCAACTACTTGGGAGGCTGAGGCAGGAGGATCACCTTGAGTTCAAGGTCACCCTGGGCTACACAGTGAATTCAGGGCCAGCTTGAACCACAAAGCAAGACCATGTCTCAAAAAAAAAAAAAAAAAAAAAAAACATATTAACAGAGATTAATTAAATGGATTTTTCTTCTCTAATCTCTCCCTATCACAACACTTTCATCTCATAGTGTCAATTTCTCTGCTTGCATTTCTAAAACCAAAGTAAAACCTATGAAATGAGAATCTTAACCCAAAAGTACCTTCTCTTCAATCCTACTCTGCTGTCCTCCAGAAAACAGCGCTGAGAAAACCCTTCCACTTCTGTACCGCTTTTCTTATCTGCGGCAAGGGTTTAGAAATGACTCACTTAGAGCTTCTGCCTCTGACATCAGATAGTGGTGGGGATCATGAGTCTTACTTTAGGAAACAGTAAAAGGGAAAGCTCAGCAACTTGCCGGAACTTGCTACAGGACTTCAGTGTGGCTAGGTCTGGGGACTCAACGGGCTCGGTGGAGAGCTACAGCTCACTGTGGAAGCCTTCAGCAGTATCTCCACTTTTTGGTAAGAAAAATTAAACTAACCTTATGACTTATGCATATCCTGCCTTGCTCATTACAGATAAAATTTGCAAGGTCATGATCTTGTCCTTCCCAGCTCCATCCCCAGCTTTGAGCTGTCTTGCTTATCCTTATGTTCTCCTTCCCAGTTTTAAAAATTTGAACTTCTAGTGGGCTTTGCCTTTAGTATCTTCATTCTGGAAATAATGAACTTTATGACATTTTCCCCTTCTCTTAAAGTGACAATGCTTATCTTTCTTTTCCTTGAGTTTTGCTTTCTCTCACCAGTTTTGATTTTCAGATCATTAATTTCCTATATACATATACACATATATAAATTCCCATTCTGTTCCCTCTTTTTCTCCTGTTCTTTGGCCCAATTCTTATTGCTACTGCCTTCATCATCCTATTTCTATTTGATTCTGCAGTCTATTTTTTATCACATATAAATTTTGTTATTAATTTCACTTTTTTAATTAGTGCTCGTTAGTTCAATTTTGAAATCTTTTTTTAAAGTATCTCCTAATCCTCAAGCATAGAGGCATTTTGAAGCCCAAACTTAGAGAAATATAAAATAATCTTGCTCTGAAGGATTTTTAACTTCTGATTCGTATTTTTTTTCTTTTTCTTTTTTTAGACCAGGAATTGGACCTTGTTTTTTTCATTTTCAAACAAATAATATTTAAAGTATAGTTCATGACAGATAATTCCATTTTTCTTACATCAAATTTTGTTCTTTTTAGTCTTTATTACTTCTGTTTGGACAGGACTCTTGTTAGCAATGCTATAGGTTTTCCATTCTCTAATCTTTGCAGTAAAAAAGAGTCATAGTGCCAGCCAGGTGGTGGATGCCTATGATCCCAGCACTTGGGAGGCCAAGCCAAGAGTAGCTCATGAGTACAAGGCCAGCCTGGACTACATAGAGAGTTCAGGACCAGACTGAACTACATAGCAAAACCCTATCTCAGAATTGGCTTGATAGTCATTGGACTTGGTATCTTAATCTCCTTTGTTGTGATTTTCTAAAAGTTTAATTTACTGAGCTTTAGTATTAAAAACTGCAAAAGTAAAGTAGTGAAAAAAGATATGATTGTGTTTTGTTTTGGGTTTTGCTTTGTAGCACTGGGTGTTGAACCTGGGGTCCATGAGCTCTATCCCCAACCCAACCCCCCTTTTTTTGAGACAGGGTTTCACTAAGCTATCCAGGCTGGGCAGGAATCTGCAATCCTCCTTCATCAGCCTTCCTTAGTGCTTGGATTACAGGCTAAATTTTCTCTCTCTCTCTCTCTCTCTCTCTCTCTCTCTCTCTCTCTCTCTCTTTGTTTGTTTTTGGTTTTGTCTTTGGTTTTTCTGGCTAAGTTTTCTTTTTGTCAATCCTAGCAATTGGTGGGGCTGTGATTCTCAGTATTTTATGGACCTGCATAAATGTGTGCGATAGAACAGGACAATAGGTCAGGGTAGCAGCCAGGCACTGCAGGGAAATAAGCAACCTGCCAGGACTTGAATGTTGGAGTAGAAGCAGCCACCAAAAAGAGAATGAAGATCATTTCTGCTTTTTTATGTTTTGCTGACTTGTCATCTTAACTTCTGCTAATCGTGGAAGGCCCTGTGACAACATCTGTTAACTTAGCAGAACTACTTTCAAACACTTTGGGCCTCTATAAAAAGAAAGCACTCTTGTATAATAAAGAACTGGAAATCCAAATAGGAAGTTAGACCCACCCATGGTTCCAGGCATGGCGCATGCCTGTCATCCCAGCACTAGGGAGGCTGAGATAGGTGAATTCCTGTGAGCTTGGGGCCAGCCTGAGCTAACAGCAAGGCTCTGTCTCAACAATTAAAAAAAAAAAAAAAAAAAGGTGGGGGAGGGACCGCAAAGGAATTAAGGAAGCAATCTGGGTAAAGGTAAAAAGGACAGCAACTGGGGGCAGGGGAGATGGCTCAGTGGAATAAGTGCTTCCCTGGCAAGCGCAAGGGCCTGAGTTCAATCCCTGGTTCCAGAAAAAAAAAAAAAGTTTGAGCTCTTAAAAAGGACAGCAACTAGAACTTTGAATTTAGTTGAAAACAAATAGTAAGCCTCACAGTGAGCACCCATCCATGCAGGCATTCTGGAGCCTTTAGGTCACAGGGCACTGCACTGAAGCCTGTGAAACGACCGCTTATGGACGAGGCTCATTTTTACCATGGAGAAATTGAAGGCAGACTGACAGATAAAACAGCCACAATAACAATTACATATAACACAGGACAAGAAGTGCTGCTGTATAGCAGATATGGGAGGGGGGACTCAAACACACAATTAAGAAATTAAAGACTTAATTTGAGTAATCAGAGAATATTTCAAGGAAGGTATAATATTTGAGCTTGACCTTGGAGAATAAGTAGAATTTCAACAGGTGTAGATCAAGTGTGGAGAAAAGGAGCCAGGCACTGCGGGGCATGATGTGGCTGTCATCTCAGCACTCAGGGGGCTGAGGCGGGAGGATTGCTGCAGGTTTGAGGTCAGCCTCGACTACAAGAGAGTTCAAGGCCAGCCTGAACTGCATAGTGAAAGCCTGTCTGAAAAAAGGGGGAAAAAAAGAAAGAAAAAAGAAAGAAAGAAAGAAAGAAAGAAAGAAAGAAAGAAAGAAAGAAAGAAAGAAAGAAAAGAAAATGAAGGAAAAAGCAGCTAAAGTGGGTAAAATGAAAGGAAGAGCTCCTGATAGAGGTAGACAGAACTCACCAAGCAACAGAAAATGCCACAAACTGGGAAGACTGAGTCGTTCAGGGAAGCAGAGTATCTGGAACCAGGGAAGGAACTGTCACAGAGCCTGGAGAATGGCCTGTGGTGGCCGCTGATACACTGCAGAGGATGGAGCCACAGAAAGAGAGGTCTGGGCTTGTTTTCTAGCAGAAATGTTAGCACAGCAATGAGGAGAAAAGCCAGATGACAAAGGGTAGGAAGCGAGTGGCCAGACAACAGGGTCCCAAAGAAGCTAACATGCTTGCAAAGGAGAAGTTGTGCTACATTAAGACACATGGTGATGGGGCCTGGGAGATGGCTCAGTAGAATAAGTGCTTCCCTGGCAAGCACAAGGGCCTGAGTTCAATCCCCGGTTCTGCCAAAAAGAAAATGAAAAGGAAAAAAACATGGTGAGTGGATCTTGGGAGACAAGAGACATAAAACTTTGAGACAAAGTAGGATGCTAGACTGGACACCATCACGGACAAGCCAGTTGTAAAAGATATTTAGGGGAAAGCTGGATAAAGAATGAGTATTCCTAAAGGAATAGTCTTACGGTGTACTGGGAGCCTGCTAACAGAAAACAGAACATAAAGAAGACAGAGCTGGGAGATAACTCAATAGAATAAGTGCTTGCCTCGCAAGTGCAGGGTCCTGAGTTCAATCCCTGGTACTGAAAAAAAAAAAAAAAAAAAAAAAAAATGCATGGACCCCCATGTCAAAAGACACATTATTCACAGTAGCCCACAGGCGGACACAATCTAAGGGTCTGGACCAGCACAAGGTACAGCCTAGGCACACAGTGCAACGTTAGCCTTAAAAAAGTGAAGCACCTCTGCGCACTCTCCCACATGGTGGATCTTGTGATGAGTGAGAAAAGGCCAAACACAAGAACACAGACTGTATGAGTCTATGTTCATGAATACATGGGTAAATTCACAGAAACAGGAAGTCGAATCGTGGTTGCCAGGGGGTGCCAGGAGGAGAAAACCAAGAATTTTCATGAGCACCAAGTTTCCATTTTGCAAGATAAAAAGTTTGGAAATTAGTTGCACAACACTATGCACCTAATAGCTGGGTGCAGCGGCACACACCTGTGATCCCAGCACTCAGGAGGCTGAGGCAGAAGGATGACCTGGAGTCCAGGGCCAGGTTTGGGTGCATAAGCGAGTTCAAAGCCAGTCTGAACTGTATATTGAGACCTTGTCGCAAAAAAAACAAAAACAGAAGCTCTATGGAAATGTGGTGCCCAAAGAAGATGGAGTTGTATCTGACGGAGGCGACCAAGTCCTGACTCCCTCTTAGTATAAAGGCGTTCTTTGAAAGTCTGCTGGAGAGAATGGATAGGTCTTTTGCTCTCATAAAGAAGAAAATATGAAAAGTTAAAACCATTTCAGATGGTGGTGAAGCTTGCTAAAGCCTTTTCATGACCTCAGGTTGGGGAGTGCCACTCTAGAAGTTTTCCTTTCTTTATTCATTTAATTCATTCATTCATTTATTTATTTATTTTTACTATCCTTTTGTTTCATGAGACAGAGTCTGACTGTACAGTTCAGGCTGGTCTTTTTTTTTCAGAACCGGGGATTGAACTCAGGCCCTTGTGCTTGCAAGGCAAGTGCTTATTCTACTGAGTCATCACCCTGGCCATCAGGCTGGTCTTGAACTATGTGGCTCCAGGCTGACCTTGAACTCTAGGTGATTCTCGTGCCTCAGCCTCCTAAGTGCTGAGATTATGGGCATGGGCCACCATGCCTGGCTCATTTGTTTAGAGGACACTGTTAGAGGCCACTGAGTGAGAAAAAGAGCTAGTGGAAAATGAGAGATCGAAAACACAAGGCAGGAGGGAAATTTGCTCATATATAATTCCAAAGGAAGTTATTATTTTGACACCCACTGAAATCAATTCCATGAATTTCAAATTGTCTATCATAGACTGTCTCTGTGTAGTCTCATATGAAGTCAAGGAGTACAAACTAAAACCTTTTTAGGGTCTTCTAGCTTTGTGATGCCACATTGTTATGTGGGAAAGTTAAAATTCTAAGAACTGTGTCGTCTTCCCGAGACACTGTCGGCTGTCACATTTTCATCTTCCTGCAGACATCTAGCCATGGAACCTTTCTATGATGAGACCAACTCAACTGACCGATACTTGGAGCCTCAGTCTCAATCCCCAACCATCCTCGCCATGGTCATTCTTGGCCTCACTTTCCTACTGGGGTTGCCAGGCAATGGGCTAGTGCTGTGGGTGGCTGGCCTGAAGATGCGGCGCACGGTGAACACAGTTTGGTTTCTGCACCTCACCTGGGCAGACTTCCTCTGCTGCCTCTCCCTGCCTTTCTCCATAGCTCACTTGGCTCTCAAAGGCTACTGGCCCTACGGCGAGATCCTCTGCAAGCTCATCCCCTCCGTCATCATCCTCAACATGTTTGCCAGCGTTTTCCTGCTTACTGCTATTAGCCTGGACCGATGTTTGATGGTACTCAAGCCAATCTGGTGCCAGAATCACCGCAGCGTGAGAACAGCCTGCATCATCTGTGGATGCATTTGGCTGGCAGCTTTCATCCTATGTACACCTGTGTTTGTGTACCGAAAGACATCGACTTTAAACAACCACACTGTCTGTACCTACAAGTTTGGCCCCATGCAATACGACTATTTGGACTACTTTGATCCAGACTATGAGACTCCTGAACCCCCTTCCCAGCTGCCTGGAGAAATGGAAGATAGATCAGATCCTTCTTTCCAAAAGCATGTGCTTCCTGGGTCAGTCACCACTATCCTTTATTCTCAGACATTTCAAAGACCTTCTGAAGATTCACCTCATGTGGATTCTACAAAGTTATCTACTCAGCATAAATCCGCTGGTGTGGTCTCACCCACAACCCTCTGTGGGCCTCCCATGGAAGAAATCAGAACTGACACATTGAATAGCTCTGCTTTTCTTACCACTAATTTAGACCTCTTCCCCAATGCGCACCAAGATTTCTTATCCACACCTGAGCTTTCACAAGACTTCCAGGATGATTTAAGCCCATTCCCATATGAACATCAAGTGCCAACACCTTTGATGGCAATAGCCTTCACAAGGCTAGTGGTAGGTTTCCTGCTGCCTGCGGTCATCATGATAGTCTGTTACACCCTCATTGTCTTCCGAATGCAACGGATCCGTGTTGTCAAGTCTCGGAACAAAGCCTTTCACCTGGCTGTGGTGGTGGTGACCATATTTCTTGTCTGCTGGACTCCATACCACATTTTTGGGGTCCTCACATTGTTTGTTGATTTGGACAGTCCCTTGGGGGAAGCTCTGGTGTCCTGGGACTGTGTGTCCCTTGCTCTTGCATCTGCCAATAGCTGCTTCAACCCCTTCCTGTACGCCCTCCTGGGGAGAGACCTTAGGAAGCGAGCACGACAGTCCATGAAGGGCATTCTGGAGGCAGCCTTCACGGAGGATGTTACAAAGTCTCCGAGCTGTACGCAAAGCAAAGCCTTTTCAGAAAAAGACAGCTTCAGTACAAACGTGTAAAAATAGAGAGCAGCCAACCTCAGATGTTCCAAGGTGCACATACGCGAAAGGAGGAACGTGGTAATCAGAAACTAGTCGTCAATCCAGTTCTCCACCATGTAGGCCTGGACTATAGGCATCAGCCTGACCTAGAAAACATTAGGAATGCAAAAGCACCACTCCAGGCATACCCAATCAAAACCTCTGACTACTGGAGCTAAGTGTTCAGCAGGCCCTCTTGGTTTTAAAGTGATTATTTCCATATGCATACAGCATACACTGAGCAAATCCAACCCACATCTTACCCAACTTGCAGTAATCACCATCTTACTTTGAGGTTGGATGTTTCCGGCTTCCACATGTAAGAGAATATGTAGTACTGGTCTTCCTGGATCTGGCTTATTTCACTTAACATAACCCCATCTACTTTCCTGCAGATGATGGGACTTTATTATCCTGGATAGCTGAGTAACACTCCACGGCTTGTGACTCCCATACATTCTTCCTCCATTCATCTGCTCACAGGCACCTAGGCTAATTCAGTCTCTTAGCTGGGGTGAATAGTGTTGCAATAAACTTTGATTTATAAAATACCCAAAGCCTGCCACCTTGTCCTTTTTCTCTGTGTATACTTCTATGTGTTGTGTTAAACCTTTGAAATTCCAGCCTTGTTCCCATGACAACGAAGCCTCATATGTGACTTAAACAGTAGAAAATGGGATATATTTAAGACTCGCAAGATGTTCTTATTATTTAACTTTTTGTTTGTTTGTTTGTTTGTCTTTTTGGCAGAACCAGGGATTGAACTCAGGCGCCTGCGCTTGCCAGGCAAGCACTTAGTCCACTGAGCCATCTCCCCGGCCCACTGTATTTATTTATTTATTTATTTTTAAATTTTATTTGTGTGTGTGTGTGTGTGTGTGTGTGTGTGTGGCCAGCTCAGCCCACCAGGGGGCG